ATCGAGAAATCGAAAAGTCTAAAAGTCCAAAAATTGAAAAATTAAAAAATCGAAAAATCACGAAATTGGACATTCGAAAAATTTTAAAACTGGGAAATTAAAGAATCAGAAATTTTGAATACGGCAAGATTGAAAAACCGAAAAATCTAGAACTGAGAAGTCGAAAAATCGATAATTCGGGAAATCGAAACACTAGGAAGCTAAAAAATTCAAAATTTTAAAAATCGAAAAGACGAAAAATAATAATTTTTAGGAAATGAAAAAGTTGGAGTTCGAAAGGTTGAAAATTGAGAAATCGAAAAATCAGAATATGAAAAAATTTAAAAATTCAAAAATCTAAAATTTAAAAATAAAAGTGAAAAAGCCAAAAATTGAAAATACCAAAAATCGAAAAATGGAAACTGAAAAATTGAGAAATCGAAAAATTTAAAAATCTAAAAAATTTAAATTTAAAAACCTAAAAACTGAAAACTCGAAATATTGAAAAATCCCAAAGCCTAAATGTCAAAAAACATGAAAAATGGAAGAAGAATTGAAGAATCAAAAACAGAAAAATTGCCTAAAAAAAATCGAAAAGTTGAAGAACCCAAATATTAAAAAATCCCAAAACTGAAATATAACAAAAAAAACAAAAATAAAAAAAATAAAACCGAAAAACTGAAGAAACCCAAAATTGAAACATCAGTAAATTGAGAAATCCAAAAATTGGAAAATCGGTAAATCGAAAAGTACAAAAGTGGAAGTAGAAAAAACCTAAAACTGAGAAATCGGAAAATGGAGAAATCGATAAATCGAAAAGTAAAAAAATCGAAAAATTGAAGAATACAAGTATTGAAAAATCCCAAACGTGGAATATCAAAAAATTCAAAAATCCCAAAATTGAAACATCAGTGAATTGACAAATCCAAAAATACAAAAATCCAAAATTCAAAAACTCACCAAGTTGAAAAATTGGAAAATTGACGAATCGAAAACTGAAACATTGAAGAGAAATTGAAACATTCCAAAACTGAAATAAGGAAAAATTGGGAAATCGAAAAATTGAAAAATCGAAATATCTAAAAATTGGAAAATCGAAAACGAAAAGCCCTAAAGTCGAAAAATCAAAATTGAAAAATTGATAAATCGAAACCCCGAAAATTTAAAAGTCGAAGAATTGAAAAATCCAAATACTGAAAGATCCCAAAGCTGAAATAGCGAAAAATTGAAAATTAAAAAAACAAATGAAGAATCGAAAAAATGAAACATCGGTAAATCGAGAGATCCAAAATCCGACATCAAAAGATCGAGAAATTGAGAAGTCGAAAAGTCCAGAAATTGAAAAATCGAAAAATCGAAATATCGGGAAATCGAAACATTAGGAAACTGAAAATCCAAAATTTTAAAAATCGAAAAGATGAAAAATAGAAATTTTTAAGAAATGAAGAATCGAGAAATCGAAAAATGGAATACTTTAACAACTGAACAACTAAAATATCGAAAAGTTGGAGTTCGAAAAGTTGAAAATAGAGAAATCGAATGATCAGAATATGAAAAAATTAAAAACTTCAAGAATATAAAATTTAAAAATAATAGTGAAAAACCCAAAAATTGAAAAGCCCAAAAATCGAAAAATAGAAACGGAAAAATTGGGAAATCGAAAAACCCATAAGTAAAAAAATAGAAAAATTGGATCGAAATATTGAAAAATCCCAAAACTAAAATATCGAAAATGGATGAAAATAAAAAAAACTGAAGAATCGAAAAACTGAAAATTTTGAAAATTAAAACATTCATAATTGAAAAACTCAAACATCGAGAAACGAAACATGAAAAGATCGAGATCGAGAAGTTAAAAAACCGAAAAATCGGGAAATCGACCAATCGAAAAATCGAAACATCGAAATCTCGAAAAATCAAAGAATCGAAAAATTTTAAAACTGAGTAATTGAAGAATCAAAAATTTTAAATATGAGATGATTGAAAAACCGAAAAATCTAGAACCGAGTAGTCGAAAAATGGAAAGATCGAGAAATCAAAAAGTTAGGAAACTGAAAAATCGAAAATTTACGGTTTCAAAAAAATTAAAAACAGAAATATTTAATAACTGAAAATTCGAAAAATCCAAAATTTTAAAAATTGAAAAAAATCCAAAAATTGGAGATCGAGAAGTTGAAAAATCCAGAAATCACAACATCAAAATACGGAAAAATTTAAAAATCTAAAAAGTGACAACTCGAAATATTGAAAAATACCAAATCTTAAATGTCAAAAAAATTCAAAAATGGAAGAAAAATTGAAGAAACAAAAACAGAAAAATTGCCAAATTGAAAAACTGAAAAGTAAAAAAATCGAACAGTTGAAGAATCGAAATATTAAAAAATCCCAAAACTGAAATATCAAAAATAAAAAAATTAAAAACCGAAAAACGGAAAAGTCCCAAAATTGATACATCAGTAAATTGAGAAATCCAAAAATTGTACGAATAGTACAAAAGTGGAAGTAGAAAAATCCTAAAAGTGAGAAATCGGAAAATGGAAAAATCGAGAAATCGATAATTTGGAGAATCGAGAAATTGAGAAATGACAAAATTGAAAATTTCCATCACTGAAACATCGAAAAATTGAGTAATCGAAAAATTGCAAGTCAAGAAAAACTAAGAAATCTAAAGTTGAAAAACAGAGAAATCGAAAAATCCAAAATTCAAAAGCTCGAACAATTGAAAAATCGGAAAATTGAAGAATTGAAAAACTGAAATATCAAGAAACTGAAAAATTGCAAAACTGAAAGAAAGAAAAATTGGGCAATCGAAAACCGAAAAGTAAAATACCTAAAAACTGAAGAATCGAAATATTGAAAAATGCCAAAACGGAAAAATCGAGAAATCGAAAAATCTCAACATCAAAAAATTAAAAAAAAAAGATCGAAAAACCGAGAAGCGGAAAAATCCATAAGTTGAAAAACTGAAAAATCGAAAATTGAATAACCGAAAAATCTAAAAGCCGAAAAATTGAAAAATGAAAGAATCGAAAAATTTTAAAACTGAGATATTAAAGCATCAGAAATTTTAAATATCGGAAGATTGTAAACAAATTGGGAATTTGAAACATTAGGAAACTGAAAAATTCAAAATTAAAAAATTCGAAAAAGCGATAAATAGAATTATCTAAGAACTGAAAAATCGAAAAATCGAAAGTTTGATAATTTTATAAATTAAAAATTAAAATATGGAAAAATTGACAGTTGAAAAGTTGAAAAATCGAGAAATCGAACCATGAAAATATCAAAAAATTTAAAAATTGAAAAATCAAGAACCTGAAGGATTGAAATATTTAAAAAAATCCTAAAACTGAAATATCAAAAAAATTAAAAACTCATGAGAAACTGAAGAATCGATAAACTGAAAAATCGAGAAATCGAAAAACCGAAAAGTAAAAAATTCGAAAAATTTTACGAATCGATTTATTGAAAAATCCTAAAAGTGAAACATCGGTAAATTGAGAAATCCAAAAATTGAAAAATCGAGAAATTGAAGGAGTCGAATAAATCGTGACACTGAAACATTGGAAAATTGAAAAATCCTAACACTGACATATCGAAAAAATGAGTGATCGAAAAATTGAGAAATCAAATAGTCGAAAAATTGAGAAATCGCAAAATTGTTATGTACCTACAATATTAATTTTTTTTTTTTTCAAAAATCTGGATCCTTAATGTAAACACTAAACACGGATTCATAAACCACAAGTAGAGGAGTACGTTATTTTATAAAATTTAAGTAACATTTATTGATGTAAAATTTACAGATGACGTTATTCCATGTTTCACCATGAGTTATATACAAAATTTTACAACAATGGGTCCCGTAATTTCGGAAATTATCTATCTAATAAAAATCCGTACAACCGGCGGATACACAGACGGCAACGGGAGACCTCTTTTTACGTACTCTAGGATTAATGAAGCGTCGAGAAAACATGAGAAGACGATTTCTATTTAATAACTAATTTTTACCTTATGTTCACAAAATATACAAATCCATGTTTATATCTGTATTTGCTTTTATTAAGATCCTCAGAACTGACTGATAATAAAGAGTTTTTAGATCAGTGAAAGCAAATTACTGACTGTTTCCCTGGTATTAAAATTTGAAAGGAAGATATAATCTCAACTTTTTTTTTCACTTGTCTTGAGTTTTCGACGAAAGACTGAGTTAAGAACAGAAAAATCAAATCAACAGTGTTTTATTTTTATTATATAAAATTGATTATATATAACCTGACCAGATCTGACCTGACCTGAGCTGACCTGACCCAAGATTTCTTTTTTCAATCAATTAAATTATTTAGAAACAAATAAGCGACAGGAAACGAACAACAGTTTACAGAAATGTAAAAACCGTTGCCAACAATCAATTCCTTCATAACTTTCACCTTACCTATTTCAAGCTAACAATGTAAAAATTCTTCGCATACCTACCAAATTTGTGAGTAACCCAAGTTAAATACAACCCACGTTCACTCTCTGCGCTTCGAGAAGGCTCAATCTTAATGGTTTTTAAATCTTACCCAATTAAAACAATCTTACTGGCAAGCTCCACAGATCATTTTGTACGTCTGTCAAATAATACCTCTCCCTCACCCGAACAAACTCGATTCAATTTCAATAATACAGCAGATAAACTCCACGCAACATTAATAAAACGAAAAAAAATTAATATCCATCATCTTCAACCAGTTGCGCCCCTCAAATATATGAAGATTGAAATTATCGATTCGCGTTCCCAACGTCTATCCCCATCACCACAGAGAGCATCAAAACAAGGAACTCCGAATACAATAAATCCATAACCGCTTTACAACCGAAACAAATAAATCTCCCTCCGGACAGCTCCGTCCAATCTCCGCCATATTATTCCTAATTTGTGAAGACGCAATTGTAATTAATTTATCCGCCCATAAACCCATTAGGCACGACACCGCCGAGAAAGCCGTCAACTTTTCCCAAACATAACCGAAGCGTGTCAAAACAACTTTTTATTCAATACAGAGAATTAAATTAAGAAAAAAGCAAATCCCGCAGTTCGACTATGTCCTGGCACAGCACTTTTTTAAACGCCTCGTTCTCATTGTACGACTCTATGATGTATCTGCTCCTCTCCTCGAACAGGAATTTTTTGAAACTTTCCTCCGACTTCATAACATCTCCATAAATTTCGTCCGCCATGAACGTGTAAGAGTGATCCACAACTGCGTGAATTTTTCCGGCGAGTTTAAAGTTATTGCACGAAGTTACGAAGGTCGGTGTTGGGGGCAGGACGTCGTGGGGGCGGAGGCCGGCGGCGGAGAGCGACTGCGATAAGGCGGCGTGGCAATGCTCGACTAGAGGGTCGAAGTGCTGGAGGCGGAAGGAATGGGTGGTGTTGCTCATGAGGAACTCGGCCACATCCAGCTCCAAAGGACCATATTTGATCATTTGGAAATCGAGGAGCTTGGTGTCGGAGATTTTGCCGTCTTGGTGGTAAGAATAGAGGAAGTTGGAAGTCCATAAGTCGCCGTGGAGGAGACCCGAGATTAAGCCTTCGTCGTCGGTGTCTTGAGACACAACATCGACTAACTTCGTCTTGAGTTCTTCATTGGTGCGATAACCCTCGAGGACTAGATCGATTAGGGTGAAGACGCCTTCCAGAGAACAGGACATGAACTTAGAAGCCAGACACTCCTTTGTGGACGCCAGTTTGTCTTCAAGAATTTCTGAGTTGTCATCATTCAAAGAAAACTTCTTCCCCAGTTCTTCGCTTTTCTTTCTCTCGTAAATTATACTAGAAGCGTGGAATTTTGCTATCGTTTGTAAACAACTCCGACACTGCTCCAAGTCCAGTGGTTGTCTTTTCTCACTCCCTTTATACCCTCTGGACAAATCTTCAAGAACGACAACACGTGGTTTAAAAAACAAACCTCTGGGAGCAAACGACGTGTCGATGTTGTATTTCCTGTATTCGTCTAGGAGTTCATAGAAAAATTTTTCCTTCTCGTAGACCAGTATTTCCTTCGAGAAAGTCGACATCAGAGGGTTGGTGCTCACCGACTTCACGAAGAACTCGTCACACTCTTGTTTATTTTCACGCACATATCGCACCTCTAGAGTAAAATGTTCCCCAACCAAACCCTGATACGGATTGTGGAAATCCTTGACTTCGAACGACGCGATTTGAAAATTTTTCGTTCCGAGGAACTTCTCGAGGGTGTTTTGGCAGTCCTCCTCTCCGAGGATTTCGAGGTGTTTTGGGCTGGCCATCTGCAAACACAATTAAGAAAAATTTATTTCACTCTGAAACTACTTACTACGACAAGTGTAGCCGCGATTGATTAGGAAGTGACTGATAAGGAATCACTCTCGAAATTCCGCTATTGACATAATGATAAGTGAAAGTTCGCCGTGCGGTGCTCGTTCTGGTGAGTCATTTCGGGTTTCCGTTTGACTACTTCCAACGAGTTTGGACCGTCATCCTCTATCAGCGAAAAAACGAGAGTGATACGAAGAAGTGAGATCCTGATAACGATTACATCAATGACAAATAATAGGCAATAAAAAATTATCACGAATTTGTGTCGAGGTCGTGACTCTCAATGAGACGAAAAATAAATTACGGGCGATTAAAAGTTATTGGGTTTAAGTGTTTGTCAATATTGTTATTTGGGTTGTTAGCAGCGGCATGTTTATGTGACATAATTATCAAACTATCTGTTAAAATAGCGTAATTATTTCCTCATAATTGTGACTTTTCGCATATAAGTGAAATTATTACAAAAAAAAGTGTTTGCACTTTTATCTATATTTTTTTATCGATTGTCTTATCTAACTTCTCGGAAATTCTGTTATCTCAATAACGTTATGATAACAGTTTTAACAAAAAAAGCGAGAACATCAATACTTAGCTTTGACTTTAATCTATGAATTTACTTGTGTAAAAAATTAAATAAAGGTTGGAAGTTTTAAATTTTGTTTTATTGCTGTTGTCTACTGATAAAGCTGTTGACACGCAATAAAGACCGCTAATAACACGTCGAACGGCATGCAAGAAGGTGTTGAATTGTTACAAGTTAACCGCATTGCTGTCCCAAACTTTTTATTTCTCTTAAACTGCAAGTGTTTCTCGTTTTGTAGAGGAAGTAGGCACTTTTTTAACTGGCAATTCTCACGTGATTTACTTTTCTTAAATTAGCCGCTTACACCAAACTACTCATTTTTTTTAATTTACGTCGATATTTCCGCTGGTTGTGTCACATGTCATATCGAGTTGGCATCAGTTGGGTTTTTTGTCAGATTTTTTCAGTTTTTCGATTGTCAAGCTAATTTTTACTTCAAAACTCACACCTGTCTATTTATTCGTCTTTCTAAATTAAACAGATCGAGTATTCGGTCCGAAAATTTCATTGTAGAACTAGAGATCTTCAAAGAATCGAAAATTTTAAGGCGGAATGCGTATTACAGTGCCGTTTTGGATTTATGTCCTTTCAAATTTGAAAAAATGCTCATTTTTAACTCAAAAATGACACCTTTCTTTCACGATTTTAGAAATAACTTAGAAATATCTTGGGATATTCCCTGATGCTTTACTTTATAAAAACTTGAAAGAATATTGAAGGACCTAATTAATTTTGAAAGAATCTCCCGTTTTTTTGGTGTTTCATTATAGAAATAATCTAAAATAATCTTGGCGACTGCGGTGTTTCAATTCTGAAAATGCTTGAAAAAATCTTAAGGGGTCTCCGGTGAGAAAATCTTGAAGCCTCTTGATGTTTTATTTTTGAACGGATTTTAAAGAATCTGGAGCACATCTGTGTTTTACTTTTGGAAGAATTTGAAAGAATCTAGAAAACGTGATCTCTACTTTATGAGAACTTGAAAGAATGTCGATGATTTTTGGTGTTTTATTTTAGAAACAACTTGAAAGAATATTGGAAGTTTTCCTGGTGTTTCACTTTATAAATAACTTGAAAGGATATTGAAGAACCTAATTAATTTTGAAGGAATCTCCGGATTTTCTGGTTTTTCATTATAGAAATAATCTAAAATAATCTTTTTTAATTCTGAAAATGCTTGAAAAAATTTTGTGAATCTCCGATGTTTTATTTTAGAAAGAATTTGAAAGAATGTTAGAAAATCCGTGTTTTGCTTTAGAAAGACTCCGAGAAAATCTTGAAGACCCTTGGTGTTTTATTTTTGAACGGATTTTAAAGAATCTGGAGGACATCTATGTTTTACTTTTGGAAGAATCTGAAAGAATCTTGAAAATCGTGATCTCTACTTTATGAGAACTTGAAAGAATCTCGATGATTTGTGGTGTTTTATTTTAGAAATAACTTGAAAGAATATTGGGAAGATTTCCTGGTGTTTCACTTTATAAATAACTTGAAAGGAAATTGAAGAACATAATTAATTTTGAAGGAATCTCCGGATTTTCTGGTGTTTCATTATAGAAATAATCTAAAATAATCTTTTTTAATTCTGAAAATGCTTGAAAAAATCTTGGGAATCTCCGATGTTTTATTTTAGAAAGAATTTGAAAGAATATTAGAAAGTCCCTATTTTGCTTTAGAAAGAGACTGAGAAAATCTTGAAGATCCTTGGTGTTTTATTTTTGAACGGATTTTAAAGAATCTCGAGGATATCTGTGTTTTACTTTTGGACGAATCTGAAAGAATCTTGAAAATCGTGATCTCTACTTTATAAGAACTTGAAAGAATCTCGATGATTTTTGGTGTTTTATTTTAGAAACAACTTGAAAGAATGTTGGGAAAATTTCCTGGTGTTTCACTTTATAAATAAATTGAAAGGATATTGAAGAACCTAATTAATTTTGAAGGAATCTCCGGATTTTTTGGTGTTTCATTATAGAAATAATCTAAAATATTTTTTTTTAATTCTGAAAATGCTTGAAAAAATCTTGGGAATCTCCGGTGTTTTATTTTAGTAAGAAATTGAAAGAATATTAGAAAGTCCGTGTTTTGCTTTAGAAAGAGGCTGAGAAAATCTTGAAGACCCTTGGTGTTTTATTTTTGGACGAATTTTAAAAAATCTTCAGGACCTCTAGTGTTGAATCTGAAGGAATCTCGATGATTTTTGGTGTTTTATTTTAACAACAACTTGAAAAAATCTTGGGAGATTCCTTGGTGTTTCACTTTATAAAGAACTTGAAAGAATATCGAAGGGGGCCTAATTAATTTTGAAAGAATGTTCGTGTCTTCTGGTGTTTCATTATAGAAATAATCTAAAATAATCTTTTTTAATGTTGAAAATGCTTGAAAAAATCTTGGGAGTCTCCGGTGTTTTATTTTAGGAAGAATTTGAAAGAATATTGGAGGGTCCGTGTTTTGCTTAAAGAAGACTCTGAGAAAATCTTGAAGCCCCTTGGTGTTTTATATTTGGACGAATTTTAAAAAATCTTGAGGGCCTCTAATGTTTTACTTTTGGAAGAATCTGAAAGAATCTTGAAGATCGTGATGTCTATTTTAGAAGAATTTGAAGAAATCTCGATAATTTTTGGTGCTTTATTTTAGAAACAACTTGAAAAAATCTTGGGAGATTCGTTGTGGTTTCACTTTATAAAGAACTTGAAAGAATATCGAAAGGGGCCTAATTAATTTTGAAAGAATCTCCGTGTTTTTTGGTGTTTCATTATAGAAATAATCTAAAATAATCTGTTTTAATTCTGAAAATTCTTGAAAAAATCTTGGGAGTCTCCGGTGTTTTATTTTAGAAAGAATTTGAAAGAATATTAGAAAGTTCCTATTTTGCTATCTAGAAATATTGTAAACTTTAAAAACTTTCCAGAAAATTATGGTTTAGTGATTTTCTACATGTTTGAGATTTGTTTAACAAACTGAAAGTTAATAACAAATTTTATACGTGAAGATTTAGAAGAACCAGGAAAATTTAAATTACTTTAGTTGTCCTAAAAATGTAAATATCTTAAAACAGAGGATTCTAGAGGATATGCGAGTAGAAATTTCCAAGAATAATAGATAAAATATTAAAAAAAAAATCCAGTTTTCAAAAATTCTTGATTTTGCCTCTTAAAGGTGCTAAAAATATTCTAAAATTTACAAATTTTCCAGAAAATGATAGTTTAGTGATTTTCTACTTGTTTGTTTTCTTTATTTTCTGTTATATTTTCTTGCATTTGACACTTATTGATCAAATTGTAATTTAATTGCAAATTTTGTATGAGAGGGTTTAGAACAACCAGGAAAATTTTAATTTGTTTATTGTTCTAAAAACTTAAATATCTTATAACAGAATATTGTAGAGGATATAAAAATTGCCAAAGTTATTGAAAGTATATAAAAGATATTTTCAAGTTTTCAAAAATTGGAAAAAATTGAACCAACAAAAGTCCTATAGATATTCTAAAATTTCAAAACTCTGCTGAAAATGACATTTTAGTAATTTTCCAGACTATTGTTTATTTTATTTTCTCTTTTATTTTCCTTCATTTGACACTTATTTAACAAACTGAAATCTAATTATAAATTTTCTACGTAGAATTTTTTAGAACAACCAGGAAAATTTTAGTTACCTTCATTGTTCTAAATTTAAAAACTCCTCAGAAAATGATTCTTTCGTAATTTTCTATACTTGTGCTTATTTTATTTTCTCTTCTATTTTCTTTCATTTAACACTTATTTAACAAACTGAAAACTATCACAAATTTTATTCGTGAATTTTTAAAATAACCAGGAAAATTTTAATTATTTTGATAGCTCCAAAATCTTAAATATCTAAAGACACTATTCTAGAGGTTATACAAATTAACGAAAATAGTGAAAATATAAAAAAAGAGATTTTCAAGTAACCAAAAAATTGGGAAAGCTTAGGCTCATATTCATATAAATTCTACAAATATTCTAAAATTTAAAAACTTTCCAAAAATTGATGGTTTAGTGATTTCCTCCAAGTTTGCTTTCTTTATTTTTTTTTTATTTTCTAGCATTTGACCTTTATTTAACAAACTGAAAGTTAATAACAAATCTTACACTTGAAGATTTAGAACAACCAGAAACATTTTAATTACCTTAATTGTTCTAAAAACTTAAATCTCTTAAAACAGAGGATTCTAGAGGATATACGAGTAGAAGTTAGCAAGGATATTGAAAGTATTTAAAAAATTTTTGCAAGTTTTCAAAAATTTTGAAAACTGAGTCTCTCAAAGGTTCTAAAAATAACCTAATATTTACAGATTTTCCAAAAACTAATAGTTTAGTGATTTTCTAAATGTTTATTTTCATAAGTTTATGTTTTAGATTCTTGCATTTGACATTTATTTATCAAATTGAAACTTAATTACAAATTTTATACATGAATTTTTAGATCAACCAGGATAATTTTATTTATTTTAATTATTTTAACAACTTAAATATCTTAAAACAGAAGATTCTGAAGGATACAAAAATTGTCAAACAGAGTATATAGAAGCTGCCAAAGATATTGAAAACATG